GGACTCGGTACGTTCTACATAGTCTCCCTGAACACAAGACCAAGTTGCGACAACGAGGTCAACCCACTTCCAGAAGTAGGTAAGTTTAGCAGTAAAGCTCCACGATTTCGGTTCTAAAGAGAGCCAGACCTAGACACTACAGGGAAGGCGGCATAATGGGAGATAGGGAAATGCGATAACTGGTTAATTGAGATTCTGAAGTCAACGGGACTTTAAAGGCCAACGTGTATTAGTATCATAATTTTTAGAGCCGTCTTCGGTAAAGCCATCTTATACATTTTATTATACATATGGGTTAATCGAAATAAGACACCGAGTTTTGCGAATACGGTAGCCAGGATAGATAGCTAGATAAGATATGGATTTCTAAAGACAGAAGGGACCAGCTAATAGAAGTCAGGTCTAGTGGTTTGATGAGTCGAGGTACGATCGCACTCAAGGATGCGAAGTCTATGGTGAATATGATAGGGCCAAAATAAACCTAATTGAATGGAAGGGGACATTTGGAATATATTTGGACAAACTAGATTTCAGAAATATGTAGATTAAAATGTTGATCATATAAAGTGGTGTGAGGCATATAGATACAGCAAAATCACCGTCAGACTGTCTGAAATCTGGCTTCCTTCAATTCCCATCCTTAATTACGCCTTATTCGAGGATTTCGAATAAGTTATGCCAATGTCGCTGCTTGGGAATCTTCCTCCACCTAGGCTTCAAGCGATTGGCTCTGGTATCCTCTCTTATTCTCACCCGCAGTGTCTCATTCTTTGCATCCGGCTTAATTCATAATCGCTGGTGTGAAAATAAACGGGAAACACTTCTAGTCTCTCAAGTTGCAAGTCCAATCTAGTCTCAGTGTGTTAGGATGCTGTTTATATGTATATTCGTTGATATATCCCGTAGTTAGGCATGTCATCGGCCACCTCTCATTAAGATGCACACACACACACTAGTAACCTATAGCTGGAAATATCTTAACAACGGTTGAGAAAGGTTAACTGACAAGATTGACTTACGGTTGTTTTCTTTGTTCTGCTTTAATAAGTGCATTGACTAGCAATCTTACCATCATAGTTAGATCATAGATATGAAGATCAAAAGTAAATTCTGCTCGATTTATATACATATAGAGAGAGTATAATATATCGTTTTAAAGAAGGCGACTCAACCAAATGAAGGTTATCCGCCTGTCATTTTGATAAGTTGTAACTAAGACACCTCTCACTGGCGATCTCTGCGAAACGGTTGGGAATGTATCAAATCAATGATCCGATGCTGGAAATTACGCATACTATGTCAGACAGTTGAGAAAATGAAGTAGAATCATCACTATAAAGCAAAAGGAGACAGCGTCTAAACAGAAAGCCACATAAAGGTATTTCCTACATAGTCGCTGGTGTTCTTTGATCCCTCACTGTCCTTCACCCCTCTGGTGTATTTTTGTGTACAGTCGTTGCAGTTTATGCTGTAAACTTCCGAGCACTCCATTTTGTTGATTTGTTAATGTTGTTGGACAATTTGCTGAAGAGTATTTTACTTTTCTTCAGGATTGTACGAATGTT